AGAGAGAGAGAGAGAGAGAGAGAGAGAGAGAGGTTAATGCTGTATGATTTGAAAACCGTACAAAAAACAATAAATACGAAATTGTCTTTTCGAAGGCGAAGAGGAAGGTCTAATGACTTCAGAAAAGACATATTTAGGCCTAGCTGAGCGTCAAATTCACAAAAACAATGGAACAATTTTCATTTCTGACTTTCTCTTTTCTTCTTTACCCCTGTCCAGGAGGAGGCAGCGAGAATACAGAGGACTTGCGTCGCTAATGTGCCCTCAGGTCTCCGGGAACTTCTAGAGGTAAGCCCTTCTCACAATGAATACTTGTCCTTTTTTCTTGAGGTAAAAAAGAAGAGCCCTCAAACAACTTATTTCAGTTTTTCAGTTAAAATAGAGGTTTTACGGCGCTCGCAACTGCATAAGGTCATATGAGCGCCAGAAGATTAGAGGTGTTGCAAGAGAGTAACAAACATAAAAAAAGAAGAAGGGGAGATAAGGACGATAGGTGTTTCATAGGAAAGAAAAATCAAACCACACCAGAGCACCCGCCAACCACCAAACAACTTGTTTTGTCAAACGTCTTTTTCAAAATTCATTTGAAAGAGCACTGTTTACAGGCATGCATTCCTCTCCATTCGAAAAAAACAACAATTTAACTCTTTTAGAAGGCTAGTTCTTCCAACAATACCATCCTAGTCTCCTGACGGACATAGGGCCTTGCTAATTGTACGGCACTCATCGTTATCATTCACACATTTCGTCTCTACCGATAGCCAAATATCTACTTGCCCATGAACAATGGTTTTTGGAGAAAAAAAAACCTATTTCATTTGAGTAAAGAGAAGCACGTCAACATAATAAGGGTCATTTTGTGCTAGGAAAAAGTAAGACAGACAGACTGAAAAAGCAGAAGGAAAGTAAAGAAGTAGGACATAACTAGTGGCGTCGCATTTCACCCGCGTGGGCAGTGTAAATTAGCGGAAAGTACTTTACGAAATACACAACGGAGAAATCGACACAAATGAGTCCGAAAATATAACTTTCCTTTTGTAAGTCTAACGATTCACGGGTGTCTTCAAAACACACTTAGAGCATTTGAACATCATAATCATCCCCACCGCAACCACACCGTTAAATACAAATCTACAACAGCAGTACAAGCTGTTCAACTGTTTTAAAAGTTCAGGAAGTAAAATTCCTCGGGGGGAGGGGAGAGAGAGAGAGAGAGAGAGAGAGAGAGAGAGAGAGAGAGAGAGACTCAGTTGGATTCAGAAAAACAACCTCCCAGCATCCACTGTCCTAAAATGCGTGGCATGTGATAATAGATTGTGATGATATCTAAAAAAGGAATTACGTCGTGGCTCTCGAGACAAATGGAGAAGAGATTTCACATCTGCTGTTTAGCAGCCCCAATCAAGCGATAAAATCATTACATGATGGACTGCAATATAATGTCGACTCCACCCCC